TATGGGTCCTCTGGGCCAGACTGGGGCTTGCAGATTCAAAAGTATTGGAGCTAGTAGGATGTGGGAAAGGCTTTTTGTTGATGTGCTTGGCCAACTAGGGGTGACAGTGCTCCTAGAGAAAAGCAGTACCAGACTCCCTAGCATAGCGCATAGGACCCAGGGGTCAAGGAACAGGGAAATGACCCCATTTCAGGCTTGCACTAATCTTGTCACTGCAGAATCCAGAGAAAGTTTCCTCCAGCTCAAGGAGAAATCAAGCGACTGTAGTAGATGAACTGCAGGGGGTTCTTTAATAGATTAAATATATTATATATATATCTCTCACAGCATTGTCCTGCTCTCTAAAGATTTCTACATCCTAATTTTGAATGTGACTGTTGATAAAACAACTTCCGTTCTCTGGGGCCCAGAGTTCTCATGTGTAGGAAAAGAAAATTATGGGTTATATAGCACCGTTAAGTCCCTTTCTCTCTGATTTTGTGTAGGAAGGCTCCTCCCATATACCAAGTCAAATTTAACCATTCTGTCCAGCTTTCAAGATCTTCCATAACTCAGGTGCCCTCTTTGCCTTCCCTAAGATGAGCGCCCCCCTACAGACCAGCTTCGGGCCAGCCCTCTGCCCAAAGTTGTACTAATGGTTGTACTAATGTGGGCTGCGCTGTTCTCTCATTGTCCTTCTTTCTGGGAGTGCAGCAAACTCTCCTGAGTCCCTGGGACACTCGTCATTTCTCAGGAGTCATTCTTCAACTTCCCAGACTACCTTGCAGACAAGAAAAATGCTAATATAAGTTTTTCCTCTGGTGTAATGTCAAGGAGGTGTTAGGATTTGCACTGAACAGGATTTTAAAAAGGAAGTTGATATTGCTGTTCATGTAAACCCCACTTCCAAAGACTTGAAATTAAGTATAATCGGCACAATCTTGCCACAGAGCTACTGTTATTCCTCTACAAAATCAAAGTTTAACAGTCAAGGCAAAGACAAAGGACATCGATTTAAGGTAAATTATAGCTGAATATATATAGGATCACATTTTATATCTTTACAAATACCAAGCAAATTTGCTGATATTTGTGATAATATATGAAAGCATAGTATTAAGGATTTGCCATTCATTTTAACATTTGGCTAAAAACCATTCATATTTCTCCACAGCAGGATTCAATATTAAATATTTATTCAAAAAATTTCCAGATTGGATTTGTTCCCTTGGATTTTATCTATGAAAATCCTTTGAGAAGTTTAAAGATGAAGGCAATAAAGAATATTCTTGTTTCTATAATGGCCCTGATAAGTCCATTCTGCTGTTATGAGATGCTAGATAAGATACTTCAGGAGACATCTATGATGATGCATCATCTGACAATAACTTTCCCAAAACAGGAAGAACTTTTTATATGTCTTTATTACTGCTCTACGGGAATATCTACTAATGGGTCTACAAATGATTTGGGATAAGCAAAAGACATAAGACAGTTGGTAAGTAAAAAAAGTAAACCTTTGGAAAAATTATCAATATCACTAAGAATGATACATTACAGTCTTTCAACTATCCAAATAGTAATAATTTTAAACACAGTTTGTGTTGATTGATTGTATATCTTCTTCTGATAAGTGGCTGTTCTGTTCCTTAGCCCATTTATTGATTTGATTGGATTTGTTTGTTTGTTTGGTGTTAAGTTTTTTGAGTTCTTTATAAATCCTGGAGATTAGTGTTCAACATCTCTAGCAATTAGAGAAATGAAAATCGAAACTAAGATTTCATCTCACTCCAATCAAAATGGCAGTTAATAAAAATACAATCAAAATTAAGTGTAGGCGAGGATGTGGGGGAAAGACACACTCATACATAGCTGATGGGACTGCAAATTGGTGCAACCAATCTGGAAAGAAGTATGGAGATTCCTTAGAAAACTTGAAATGGAACCACCATTTGACCCAATGATCCCACTCCTCTGTTTATAACCAAAGGACTTAAAAATATTCTACAGTGATGCAGCCACATCAATGTTTATAGCAGCACAATTCACAATTGCTAACTGTGGAATCAACCTAGATGGCCTCCTAGATGAATGGATAAAGAAACTGTGGTATATATACACAAGAGAATATTACTCAGCATTGAAAGAAAATAAACTCATGGCATTTTCCAGTAAATGGATGGAGTTGGAGAATATCATGACAAGTGAAGTAAGCCAATCCCCCCAAACCAAAGGCAGAATGTTTTCTCTGATAAGTGGATGCTGATCCATCATGGGGGTAGGGGGTAGCATGGGAGGAATGGAGGAACTTTGTATAGGGCAAAGGGGAGGGAGTGGAAGGGAGGGGGCATGGGGGTAGGAAAGATGGTGGAATGAGATGTACATCATTACCCTAGGTACATGTATGAAGACACAAATGGTGTGACTCTACTTTGTACAACAATAGAAATGAAAAATAATGCTCCATTTGTGTACTCTGAATTGAAATGCATTCTGCTGTCATGCATAACAAATCAGGAAAATTAATAAATTAACTAACTAAAACAAACAAACAAAAAACACTATTGTGTTTAAAGAGATGAGGCAAGAGTTGAGACCATCTCAGCTACTGGGAAGCTGCCAGAACATGTGTGCCCTGTGCCCCTGCAGATCCAGATTCTGCCCTCTTCCCTCCTGATCTGTGTCCTGGGGGTTTCAATCACCTTAACAGAGCACATCACTGGGGCTCCCTTACCTCCATCTTCTTGTTAGCCTCAGCCACTGGGAGACACCACCAGGAGAGCAGTGACCAGGGGTTGGCAGGGACCAAAGCTGGGAGTGTGAGGCCCTTTTCAGGAGCCTCAGAGCTTATTAGTTTTTAAAGAATCGCCCTTCTCCTTGCTTTATTGGTAGTGGCCTCTCATACTGTTAGCTCTGGGGTTCTTCTCCATTTCCTACTCATTCCCCTTACCTTGGCTATACTACATATACTATCCCCACATTAAATCCTTTCTAGCCATCCCTTTTAGGTTTCCTATCTATCTCCTGCCAGGACCCTGAAGATGTGGCACATCTCACTCATAGGACCACACAGGTCCACACAGGAACTTAACCAAGTGAAGACATTCTTCATTACAATCAGTTTCTACCCTTTCCTTCCATTGTGAAAGTCTGTTGTCGTTACCTCTCTGGTACCTGGTCACTCTTTTCCTTGTAGAGCTCCCTATTTTTCCATTTGGGAACCACACCTCTTTTTCTGTCAGTGCACAGAACTTAGGTGAAGCTGTTCTCAGTACCGACTGGAGCTCCACAGTAAATCCAATTAGATTTAAATTCAGGACCTGTGTGGGAACGACTGGAGCTCAGAGGCCTCCACTCATGGAGATAGAAAGGTATAGGAGAAATAAACCTGGAGCTATCAGGCCAAGGAGAGAGGGCTTGACTGGGAATAAACGGATGAAGTGGAGATGGAGGTGTGCCTAATATTAGTATTGGAATCCTTGCATCCCAGCACGCCTGAAGCTCATAATTGGACATCCTAGTTATCAGAGTCTACATGTCCATCTCCCTTTTGCTTGAGTTGAGCTTTTTATCACTTGCAATTGTAAGATTACTAACTAAAAGGCCTTCTCCCAATGAAAACATACATTTAAAGAGGGTGAAAGTGGAGAGTATTCGAGAATGGGCCTTTTAAAAATGTGTCAATCATTCAGATTTATGGTGTTGTTTGCAGTCAGGGCCCTAACACTGCATTCATGGAAGGCTGATGGGGGCTGTTTTTATGATTCTGGGATGCTTCCACCACCCGTGTTATCTCTTTAGTTCTCTAAAATCTGTAAGAGATGGGGTGATGCCAAACCAAAAGACCCACTGCATTTTGAACTCTGAGGAGCAGATCCACGCGTGAACTGGTGCAAACAAAGAACAGTGGTGACCAGCAGCCGAATGCACTGGGCCTTCTCAGATGACAGGGTTCACTGGCAGGAAAACTGTTATTGCAACAATCATTATCCCCGTTTACTGCCTATTCGAATGTGAGTCACTGGGAGGTCAAACTGTCCCCAAAGCCTAGTGTTCTTGAGCGCGCAAGGTCAAACTCAAGGGTCAGCAATCAGGTGTGAGGACAATGGCAAAGGTTCAATCCTTTGAAATGAAGAGCAGGGGTAACTCTCAAGAGATGGCACAGAGAGAGTTTTACTATCACCAACACATCCCATATCTTGGGAAAAGAAATCAGAGTGACAATGACAATTTTATACAAAGTTCTTTCCCACAGCTGTCCTCTGAGATGCAGACAATCTCTTCATTAGTTTTAAAGATATCACTTCTCACTCATTTGTTTTAAAGACACCACTTCTCGTTAATTTGAAGTAATTCTAGATTAGTAGTGGAGTTGCACAAACAGTATGGAGAGCCCCGTGTGTGCCCTACTCCCGGTTTCCTCTTTACATATTACAGTACGATATTAATTGGGATTTGCCTGACACAAAGTAGGTGCTCATCAAAGATGACATTTAGAACTGTCTGGCTTAAAAATGCAAATAAAATACAAGATAATACATGAGTCATCACACAGTTGCTTAAGAAATTCTTGCTTTTACTATCATTGCAATCATTTAAAAATGTGTAATTCAGTCATCCCTACAGGACCTGTGTCATTTATGAGTATGCTCATCAAAACCCACATAAAACCTTTGTAGCAAAAATGTTGACTTCTTTGCTTAAGGCAATAGTTCTTTTGAGTTTGGGTTACTTTCTCTGCCCTTCACAATATCACCATGAAAAATCAAACTCTTCATCAACTCACTCATTCATCTATTCAACAATTAGTGGCCCTGTGACACCTGCCACATATTTATATGTTGGGGAATCAATGCAGATTAAAACAAATTCTCTACATAGTGCAGTAAGGCATGCAGTCTGTTGGAATGGAGAAGAAATCTACATAAACTGCAAGAGGGATAATCAGACTGTGAAAGGAGACAGGTGGTTACAAGCACTGAGGGGTTAGGGAAAACCATGGAGGGCGCCATTTTCCTTACCTTTTCTGCAAGCCAGCCAAGATGCCTGATCTCTCGGCTTCCAGCAATGCCTGTTTTCCCCAGCTGCTCTCTGACCTCAGCAATCACTCGGCTCACCAGGTCACTAACGTTGGCATGAATGGCACTAAACCAGGCCTGAGCCGTGGCTGAATCCTTGCTCCTTAGTATCACAGTGTGCTTAGCATCTGGAGAGTGGATTTCAAGCTGCCTGAAGAAGAAGAGAGAGAAGGATTAGAAAGGTCCCTGGCAGACTAGGTCTCAGAAAGATGAGCTAATTCTTTCCTCCTAGATTTTTTAGACTGTGCCAGCATCTCATGATATACCTTCATGGTCCCACCATTCATTCATTCACTCATCTTGTTCATCCACAAATGTTTATCTATTGCCCAGACACTGATCTACGTATGTACAGGGAACGTGTTGTGCAACACCAAATCACCTGAATTGAGGATATCTGTTACCCTTAATCCTTCTTATCCAGCTTACTAGAAGTATCATATCAAGACTTCCAAACTGTGAGCTGATACTCATTCAATCTGCAGAGGATTTAGTAAGATACATCACAGATGTTACCAGCAGGAAGGAGAACAAAATATCTAGCCACATGTTTAATCCTACTGCCCAGTGTTAATCAATTGAGAATATTTTGGAATAAAATATGTTCAAAAGTTGTAATCTTTAGGAACCATGTTGGTGGTACACTTAACTACCACTTAATCCTTGGACTCCTGTATTGAGGGAGTTAATTATCCTAGGAAGGGGTAACAATAGGTAAAAGTGCACTAAGATTATTGTATTTTAAGCCAAGCACCAAAGCTTATGCCAGAACTCAAACTGGATCATCTGAGATACAGCGTGAAATAGCTACTAACTATAATTGTGGTAGAAGGAGGAAATTCTAGATGGATACTTTGTAACTTCTTAATTTGAAGTAATTCTAGATTAATGTGGAGTTGCACATTGTATGAAGAGCCCCACGTGCCCTATACCCAATTTCCCCTTCTGGTTTTATTTTACGTATTATAGTACAATATCAAAACTAGCAATTGACATTGGTACAACAGGAGTGTGCCATTTTATCATGTGTATATTTGGTAAGCACACTGACATCAAGATTCAGAACTATTCCATTGCCACAAAGATCCTCCAGCTACTCCTATATAGTCACATGTCCCCCTCCTCATCACCCTCCCAAATCCTAGGCAGTCACTCATCTGCTCTCCATCTCTATAATTTTGAGAAAGACATTTTTAATCATACGGAGGAAAAATATCTTATTTATTACTTCATATATGCCAGAAATAATATCATCTATTCATTCATGTTTGTATTAGAAAAATATGAAGATTAGAAAATTCAAAACTGATTAAAATTTTCCACTTGTTCATTTCCTTTCATTCCTTAATAATATGCTAAGATTCCCTGAGACTTTACTATGTGCTAAGTAAAGTTTTAAATCCTTTTATGTTATTCTGTCTAATGTTCCTAATAGTCCTATAGTCTGATAGTGTTAACTCTACTTAACAAGAAAAAGCTGAAGTTTGGAAAGAGAGAGAAAGAAGTAATTTGCTCAAAGTTGCTCAAAGCCACATAGTTAGCGATGCTGGGGTGCAGAAGCTTGTTATGTAGGCTCAAAAGCCTATGGATTCAATCAAATTCTGCATTACAATGTCTCTGCTTTAAATTGAGGATGCCAAACCACTGTCTTCCACTTTGGTCTGAAGTCCAGTATAAGCCTCAACAATCATGCCCAATAGTGTCCTCCTTAGCTCCTGAGTTGCAAAATCAGTTTTGCACATCAGCTGAATGTTAGTAGTCCCAAGCAACCTGCCCTCATTAACATTTGAAATGAACCTTTGAGAGTAAACCTTTTAAGTTATAAACTTAAATTGTAGAAAAAGGAATGATTTGGAAAGGGGGATGTCTCTAGAGGAGTTTTAGCAATTAACATTCTTGGTAAGAAACTTGCAAACCAAGTCTCTTCACTGAGACTGTAAGTTTTAAGCAATAAAACAGGAATATGTAGATGTCATTGGTCTTCAACTAGACGGAAGAAACCCTTTTGCTTCTCAGGTACTTTTCAAAGAAATGGGCAATAAATCTTGGTGGAATTTTCTTTCCTTCCAAAATTATTACTCTTCAGTGAAGTTGCATGGCAGAATACAAGCCAGGATTTTCGAAACGAATTAAAGAGAGATCAACTTGCTTTTCAGAGTATTCCATCAATATTAATTAATTCAGGAATTTAAAATATGCCAATATTTTATGTACAAGGTTTTCTTACAAAGACCTGCACTTAATTGTAAAGAAATGACACTTAGAAAGCAGCCATTCCCCAGCTCTCTCTCTCTCTCTCTCTCTCTCTCTCTCTCTCTCTCACACACACACACACACACACACACACACACACACACACACACATGTATATACCATGGTGCCAGCAAAAACAAAAAGAGCATATTGTCTCTAGAGATGCCAGCATGGTCCTAGGAGAAAGGTGACTTATAAACAGAGTTACAGTCTTGTGATGTGGAGGCCCTTTCTTGCAGATTTTGACAGCATTTATCATTAATTTTTAAATATATAGCACATGGAAAAATGCACAAATTGTATGTGTAAAGACTGAATGGATATTCATGTAACCACTACTTAAGAAATAATAAATATAAGCTTCCCAGGAGTCTCTTCTGTCCTTCAGTTCTAGAGTCCATCTTCCAAAATAATCACTCTTAGACGTTCTGTCTCCATGGATTACTTTTGTCCCTGTAATTCTCTGGTATTTTTTTTTTTTTTTCATTTGTTGTGTTATGGCTTGGATCTGAAGGCTCAGGTGGCTTGGTCTGTAATGCAGCAATGCTCAGAAGTGGGGCTCTGGGAAGTGACTGGATTAGGAGGGTGCTAACCTCATCAGTGTGTCCATCCACTGAGGCATGCAGGGCTGAATGGATTATCTGGAGGTGGCAGAGACTGTAAGAGGTGGACCCTGGTTGGAGGAAGCAAGTCACTTGGGGTGGGCCCTAGAAGGTTGTTTCTTGTTCCTGGCCCTGAGTTGTTCTCATCAGACAAACACAGTGACAAAAAATCTGGTGAACACATTGTGGTTGTTGCCTGAAGTGTGAGGAGGATCCTGAACTATGTCAGAGGCAATGTTTAACTACCCGGTTCCACCCTTTTTAGCACTGTTTTGACAAGTGTGGCCACAGACCAGCAGCATTCATATCATGTGGGAACTTACTGGAAATATTAGAAATGAACATTATTGGTTCCCCTGGGGGTGGGGCTCTGCAATCTCCCTCCAGTAAACTTAATGCAATTCAGGTTTGAGAAGACCTGCCTTAGAGGTTTATAAGAAAAATCATTGAGTTGGGTTGGTTGCCAGATTTCCTTAATGGCCTGGGTAGACTTGCTGAATGGTGGATCGCACTCTCCCAGGCCAGTTCTCAAAGACAGAACACATAGAGAGGCCTATGGCTTTTTATAGTTAAAAAATTGTATACACACACACACACACACATATTCATATAAATCAATCAAGCAGCAAAGGTTCTCGACCAAAAGTATTCCTCAGAAACCCTTGAATAGTTTTTTTTAAACCATTTAGTTAAATATAGATGTTTGGACTCCATCCCAGACCTATTGAATGAGACTCTCTGGTAACTAAAGCCTGGGTATATGTTTCACAGGTTCCACAAATTATATGAATTAGAGTCATGGCAATCCCTTTAAGCCCAGGCTTGAGCTCCCTAAAGAGCTGTGGCACCTATGGGTAGTTGTTACCAGAAGGGCAACAGAACAATAGAATAGAGAGTATGTTAGTAATCTGTTGCTGAGTAACAATTTTACCCAAAATTAATAGCTTAAAACTTCAAACATTTATTATCTTGCAGTTCCCGTGTGTATTGAAATAGGGCAGTGGCTTAGCTGGTTGTTTCTAGTTCAGGGACCCTTTTGAGTTTGCAGTCAACAGGGGCTGCAGACATCTGAAGGCTTGGCTGGGGCTGAGGGTTAACTACCACAATGACACACTCTTCTGGCTGTTGGCAGGAGGCCTCATTTCTTTACCACATGGAATCCTCCAGAGGCTGCTTGAGTGTCTTCATGTAATATTTAGTACCATAAACTAAGAGATTTAACTTGGTTTCCCAAACTAAGTGGTTTGGAGTCATTCGTCACCCCCCACAAAGGAACTGCTATGCCTTTTATGACCTGGTCTCCAAAGTCGTATCATAACTTCTGACTTATTCTTTTTCTTAGATGTGAGTCACTAAGTCCAGTGCACATTCAAGAGAAGGAGATTTAAGCTTTCCTAGGATACAAGGAAGAATATCGTAGAATTTTCAGACATATCTTAAAACCACTAGAGGGAGGCTTCTGATGAAACCAAATTCTCGAAACAACCTCTTTCCAAATGGAGAGGGAGTTCTTGGTGCTGTGGATCTGCAGTGTGTAAAGAGCTTGCTGATTCTCGTGGAGATGGAGAATACCATTCCCTCGGAGCTGTGGCTCTGGATTGTAAGATGAGGCATATAGAGGTATTTAGGTAGGGGTCAATGTCAGCAGAAGATGAGAAATGATCACTCATTGGCGCCATATGTGAGTAGCATGAACCCAACAAAAAATGATGATGGGTGAATGTTGATTGAACTGGGGAGGGTTTGACACAGAAAAATATCATTTGCATAATGAAGAAATCAAATAATTCAGTAATGTACATTCATCTTCTTCCCCTCCAACAAAATTCAAAGAGAAAAGGGATATAAACTTCTTTTTTTTTTTTTTGCAGGGGGGCGGGTAACTGGGGATTGAACTCAGGGACACTTAACTCTGAGCTACATCCCCAGCTCTATTTTGTATTTTATTTAGAGACTGGCCTCATTGAATTGCTTAGCTGAGGCTGGCTTTGAACTCGTGTACCTCCTGCCTCAGCCTCCCAAGCTGCTGGGATTACAGGCGTTCACTATCTCACCCAGCAAAACTTCCTTTTTTTAATACCAATAAACTCTATAATCTAAAGCAAATGTAAGTACCTGATAGTCCTGAATTCTCCAAATCCTTTGAGTGAAAACTCTAGATTCTGGATAAGGTGGTCTTACGCGCACAAAAAATCTCCATTACTTAGTACAAACTTAAAATATATACATACATGTACATACATTTTTTATTACTTTATTTCATTTTACTAAAATCTAGTCCACTACAATGAATATT